AAACCTTATTTTGTTCTTTAAATGGGATTATATTATAGAATGTCCCTCCCTAATAACCTGCCACTTGTGCTTTTTCCCATGGTTGTGTTCTATTTAGATACACAGGATCCAGTTGATATTCTATAAAGACGGTCGTTCATTTGGTTGAAATAGGGCTATTGATCTTTGATTAGTTTCTGTTTAGGGAGCCTATGGCATATATTTATCCCTTAGCTAGTCAAACTAGTTTTCGTCCTTAATTCCAGCATCCTGCAGAGTAAGCTATTCTCCTGAAACAAAAAGAAAAAAAAAAAGTAAAAAGAGGCCGTAGAGTAAGCTTGTATACGGAATGCTTATCGAACAAGTGAAGTAAAAGCAGGGATCATCTACCCAAATGATACTTAAGCTCTGTGATATATGTGTTCATTCAAGTTGGATGCAAAATGTTGTTTTTTCTCTGCCATTAAACAATATTTACTTTTAGTTCACCAAATCTTCGATTTTTTTGTTAGCATTTTAATTCATAAAAAAGAGTTATTAGCATTTTGGATTCCTTTTGTTATTAGCATTTTAGATTCCTTTTGCATTTATAGGAAGTTGTTCTGCACTATTGATTTATCAGATGGTCATTTAGTCCCCTATTATGAGATTAGATTCTATATGACAGTTCAAAAATGTTCTTAAGCTCAATGCTTGGGTTTTGCACTTAGAAATCGGGCTTGGGTCAAGAGGGTAATAGGGTAGAGGCTGGGCTTTTATAGCACAACGTTTCAAGTTCCATTCCTATGTAACCTTGTAAAAAAAAATTTGTGGTTTTGTACTTTAATTGCTTTTGTGAGACCTGCTTTGCTCTGTGGGGCAGAATGTTGGGCGGACAAAAAATAATCTACCAATAGAATGAGTATAGTGGAGATGACGATGTTGAGATGGATGAGTGGCAAGATAAGAAGAGATTGAATTCAAAATGAATCCAGTTGGGAAAATTTAGGTGTGGCACCAATAGGAGATAAAATGAGAGGGAGCAGACATAGGTGGGCTGGCCATGTGTGGCATAGACCCAATCCAACATTTGTTAGGATGTGCGAGTTAGTTCAAATGAAAGGATTGAACAAGGCAAAACGTAGGCTCAAAAGGACATGGTTGGAAATAATCTAAAAAGATATAGGGACTTATGACTTCACTGAGGATATGACCTTTAATAGAGCAGAATAGCGAACCAAGATTCGTATAGCCGACCCTAATTAATTGGAAAAAGGCTATGATGATGATGACGATGACAGCTTTAATTGCTTTTGTAGCTTTGCATCTTAATAGGCTGCATATCTTTTGAACTCTTTAAGCTATGTAGGATGTGATTGACCTTCTTTATTTCAATGATGCTTGAAAGGAACCTTGCATACACAATGAAGGACTTGGCTTTGTGAATTCGAATGTCTTTTTTTTGAGAAATATTTTGACTTATAATATATACATGCTAATGAATTACAAAAGCTAATTCTATCAACAAATAAAAGGCATCCCACAAGTTGGGTGCTCTTATCAGAAAAGGAAAGTACTAGAAGAAAGAGTAAAAACCATAAATGACAAAGAGAAACAATAGAAGACCTAGAAATCACAGCTTCAAGCAAACAAGGAGCAAACCAGGAAGTCAGTGGGTGATACTTTAGGATACTGATTAGCAACGGCCCAGGCAAAGTAGGAAATGTCTTCTATATTAAAACTAATGTGAAGTGCTATTGCTCCTTATCAGTCTACAAGTTTCCCCCACCAACCTTCCTGATGTTGAGGGACACCACCATTGAAGTGATATTGCGAGGGAAGTTGGAAAGATGAAAAGTTGGCCTGGCCCTACTAATGGCTTTCTGCTTCTGGTAAGGGCCATTGCCCAGTAAACCTGCTAAAGTCTTTCTGCTTCTGCTAAGGACTGTTGCACTGTAAGCGAATACTAGTTGTGTAAACCCAAGGCCATGGGCCATTGGTAAAAGAACTAATTAGCAAAAGCTCCTGCAAGTATGTTGAGAATTACGCGAGCTCTTTTGAGGTTGAAACGTCCTTCGTCCTCCACTTGTCGGAGACTATGGGGATCTGGGATTTGAGAACATTGATTGACGACATTCAACTGACCAGACTTCGTGATTAGACTTGTAGCTTATATTCGTACTGGTTTCTCATGTTAAACCATAGAAGGAATTCAAGCACTGCTAATTGGTATCTTTATTTATGCATCAATGACGATAGAATGCATTTGCCATAGTTTCAGCATTATGACAAACCACACATCTTATCTTTTTACCCCTGCCTAATAAGACAGCATCCACAGTCGTCTAGACCCCATCAACCCCGTGTTTGAACGTATTTTTCAGCACCTTGGTCCCTGGTAGGAAACAGGTCAATGAAGCCTACAAAACAATGGAAATTCCCGACAGTCTTAGAATGGCCCCATAACTGCTTAGGATCTTCATCAACACTTCAAAGGACCACCTGCCGAATTTCATCGTAATCAGACATGTCTAAAGCAGTAAACACAAAGAAACAATTTCAGCAAAATCAGTCTTTAGTACCTTGAAATGGACCCCGTAACTAGAGTTATATTTTTGGTTCGTCAAACAGATGTGAGACCACCGCCATTAGATCTGACACAGTCAAAAACCCCTATGGGTCAAGTTTCGGCTTAATCGGGTACTCCAGGACAAAGTTATGGGTAAAAGACTAAAAAGGGCTAGGTTGCACGGTATTCCCATGTGGCCTCACTACACCAAAACACCATTAAAGGTGCTTGTTTTTCCAGTCACATACAGTCATTTTCGAAGCCTATATCT